AGAAACAAAATCCGTATATTATGTGGGTATTAAGGTTAAACTAGATGTTAGTTACCTATTCAACTATTTTTGATTCAAAAAAGTTTTTTATTCTAATTTAATTTACTTCTACTTGTATTTCAATGACTTAACAACATACGGGATGTCTTTGGGTCTAAAACATGTTATGATTAGTCTAGTAGACTAACATTCTCATTTAAGAAGGTCCGTCACTTAAAATCAATTGATACTGTTCAAAAACTTATTAATTAACAAGTTAGCTAAATAATTGGATACTCTGAATATAAGTGATATGATGTTATGCTTACTGTTTTCCTTAAAATAATAATACGTGAGCAATAAAACATACATTGATCACATTTACAAAACTTAAAATATAGATTATCCTAGATAAAACTGAATGCTACTGGAAACAGTTGACTATGACTATAAATTTGTAAAAAGTAGACAAGTGAAAACAGAGAATAATTACTATTACTCAAAAAAGGATATATGGAAAATGCAAAAAGTAACTATTATTGGGAATGATATCCAAAGTAGTTGACTGTATGAATATAGTTGAGTAAACCGTACAATGAACACTAATAAATATATTAGATAAGCATGACAGACAGCAAAATAGTTGATTGATTACTCTCAATAAGTAAGTCACCCTACTCAAAATTATTATAATTATAACTGGAATATTAGTTGTAACTGAATAAGTAGGCTGATAAATTGAACAGCTCTACATCCATGTAACATATGAATTAATAAAAATGAATATAGTTTATCGGTAAGAGTTCAGTTTGATGCAACCCAATGATAGCAAGCTATTTATCTCCATAGTATGCATTTCTGGTCTAAAACTGATATCAAATGCCTGACTGATAGGTTGATAAAAAATAAGATTCAATTGAACATGTAAAAAAAAGTTTAATAAAAGTTTATATTGTAAGAAAATGGTATTAGGACTGAAAAAACCAATCAGTAGATGATTATGTCATGCTGCTTAATAATTTGTACTATAGTTTTCGTCTCTCGGCTAGGCTACAAAATACTACTATTTTACTCCCATTCTCCTATGAAACAATTTACACAAAGAGAATACAACTTCAAGGGCATAATGTGAAAAGCAGAAAAGTAAAAACAATTCAGAAGTAATTCACAATAATTATTTCATTAAACCAGTACATTCATTGGTAAATTCATTTTAAAGCAAATGACATTAATTGTTCGAATAATCCATACTAGAATGAAAATCATACAACATGAATAAATTAATATGATAATTTAACGACAAAAAAAATGCTACTGATAAACAACGAATCATTGTTTGGTTGGTTAAACTATGAAATTCAATTCAATTTGTAGATAGTGTGTCATTTAAAATGGAATTGAAAGGTAGATATCACTGAATAACTAACTCCATTATCCTAGTTCGAGACAATTCAACAATATGTATATATGATCAAGATCTCATAAGGAATAAAACAAAGGAACTGTAGTTATGATAATGAGCAAAATATTCTTTGATAAGTCTAAAATACAAATATATATTTAACTGAATACACTTTATTGATTTATCGACAGATGTGTGTAAACAATTATTTCGTTCCTTGGCACAGATTGTATGAATACTAATATAAATTAAAATTCGGCAAAAGTCTATTGATTTTTCAAAAAAAAGACTTCATTCAGTCTAAGACTTCAGTCTAAGCTAATCATAAATCAATATTAGAAATAAGACAGTAAGACAATCAGAAAATACTGGACACAACTTACAATCTTTTTAAAATCACATTGATAAGGTGATAATGAAAGAAGACATTCGAAAGTAATGATGAGAATTTAAAAATAAAAACTAATGAATATAACCATTTGTCTGATGATTACTTAGTTCAGTTTAATTTAAGAGAAAAAAGGTTGAAAACTGTATTATTATTATTATTGTTATTATCTGATTCATAGTGAGATATACAGTAACATTATAGATGTAAAGTGATTAGTGCTTTGCTTATATCACCTAATAAATTGCATAATTATAAGCTGAATAGATAGCCAAAGAAAATATGAAGTTTATTTGATAAATCCATCAGTCTCAGTCTGTTAAAACGTGTGCTGATACGAGTATGAAGGCGGATATCACTTCCCCGCTGCCCACACCTTGGAAGGGTGTTTCTTGAGGAACCTGAAAAGGAAGATAGACTGATGTTGGCCTTAACGACCTGGGAGCGTGATCACAAAGCCCAAAGGACAACTGCTTGAGGCCAGTCACGCATGGACTTTTGATGAAAGGCCTTTTGAGTGTTAGCTCTGCTCCTTAAATGGCCTTACTGCTGGAGACCGATATTCGTGAGCTAAGGTTAGGTGCGACATTTTTAGGGTCGACCTTTTCTAAACCCTTCCTTTCTTGCGAGAAGGCTGCATCACTGCAGGTGCTGGTTGTCCGAAGGAAACACCTTACTTCTGTCACACCTCTCCACAGTCGGAAGTACGACTTCGCCCTCAGACCTTGAGTTGCTGCTTTTAGTCTCATCGTTCTCCAATCGACCTGCCTGGAATGGTAGGACCTTTAGAAACGTATGTTCCAGCCAATATAGCTCGGTTGGGTCATCACGATAGGCAAGCCCGACTACCACGTTAAGGTAACAGCTACGGTCGGGTGATAAATCATGAATATAATTCTCATATTTAGGAATTTGATTAATTCCTATAACTAATGAAAGTTTATTTAAGATGTTGAAAATTGTTCCTTAACCAAACCAACAGAATTTCATAATATAACCTATTCACTATGACAGAGAGAAAAAGTCATCAATAATTAATTTAATAACCTCATATGATGTGTATCAGTTCAAATTCCTACATCACACTAACTCATAGAGATGAGAGTATTAATCATGAATTTTAAAGCAGCAAGAGCAATATCGGTATATCTAACTGTGAGAAAAGAAACTGGTTTAGGAGGAAAGGAATATGTTCATGGAACCAAATGTACGGAATAATAGTGAAACTTGGTGTTTGGGTGAAGAAATATGAACAATGAATCTAAACCAATGTAAATGATTTTCCGCAGTGGTTATCCAGAATGTCCATACCAGGTAGTCTGTATCTACCAACATATCACATACCAATAGTCAGCTATGTCAAGATTGGTTATGACAGTAGTTGGCTTCTCTTCAACTAACTTTTACGTCAGTTAATATCATGTGCCAAGATAGGAGATTGAGTATTTTTAACACATGACCAAGGTGTTTGATTTAATGAAGATTCATATGAAAAAAGGTGAAATAATTTTTTCCGATTATTCATCATACTTATCATTAAAATATATGTTAAAATAAAAATGCTATTCAGCAGGAATGAATATTTGACTCAATAATACTCTACCAGGTAATCAAGCAGATATTACCACAAATAATAATCTAAAATAAAAAAAACCAGTTAGGTTTATTCCAGTAAAAATTTCAGTAACTATTAGATTTTATAATTTTTTCTAGTTCACAATTAGTCTTCAGTAGACACCTAACTAACTTTCTTACTTACTCATGCCTGTTACCAATGATGAAGCGTATGGCGCTTGGAGCGCTACTGCCGGTCCCAAGACCGGATAAAGGAGGAGGGTTGGGCATAGGATTAGTGACCACGTCCCATAAAAACCGAACTCGCTGAAAAAGGCATTAACTAGACATCTAACTCACATAAACAATACATCTATTCATTTCTTTTAAGTGATTGTAAAGTCATCATGTAAATGGTCAGCAATGAGATTTGTTAAACTGACAATAAAATACTATAAAAATGAATACGATGATCAAAAGTGTTGTAACTACTACCAATACCATTGCAGAGAATAGATGGATTATGACTAACAGTGGAATCCTGGATATATGACTTGTTCCATTTGGGACCCACCAACTAGAACTATCCGTACTCTAATGTTAATGTTCAGACTGATATAAGGTTGTTGTATGATGTTAACCAAGTCTGATCAACAGTTCAGTCAGCAGTAACAATAACGGGATAACCAAAGATATTTCGGAAACTAATATAAAGATTATTAATACGTATGTGGATAAAGGACCATAGTATTAATACGAATATAATAAGTGGAAGCTTTTGTGATGATGTTGAATTTAACTGACCAGGAACTCGTTAAACTCATCACAGCATTCATATTGATATCAGTAATTAAGATTTGAATCTAAGATTTATTAACCCAGTTGCTAAAGTGTTATTTACGACTGTAGTTGTTCACAAGTAATAGAATGAAATATCTACCCTTAATGTCACTATTGTCTATTACCTGATTTAATCAAGAATTAATCTCTATAACTGTCACAACGTCTGTATAAACGGCTCATAAATAACAGAAGTGAGTAATTTTTTTTAATTTTTACATTGATAAATATTCATATATGTCATGTATTAATGACAAACAAAAAACTACTTTTCACTCAATCATCTATTTCAACATAAATCATCATCCTCCAAAAATAAAAAAAATGAGATTACGTTGAATAATCAATGATTACCGATATCGTAGAAAATCAAACCATTAATCACTCTAAGTGAAACTAGTCGGAATAGTAAATTCCATCCTATTCCCTTCAAAAAAGAAAAAAACGTACAGAGAATATTCTATTTTTAAATTTGGAATAAAATAACCGTTATAAAAGTTGATAAAATCAAAAGAGATTAATACTGATGTGAATTTTTATTCGCCTATTTTGCATTAATTTAACATTTTCAACGAATTCAATGGAGTGATTTCTTTATGCAGTTTTATTTTATTTCAATATTTTTTTTAATAATTTATTCTTAAGCGATTAATTTTTGCATAATGTATCTAGATCCTATCAGATGGTTTTGTAAACAAAACAGTGACAAATAGCTGAAATTTTTTAAAAATATTGGTTGTAATGTAACATGACCTGCAAAATCGCCATGTACTTTTAGTTAAAAATGATATTTAATACTAATATTAATAATACTAATGCTAATAGAGTAAAACTTACTGCAATAATAAAAAATGGCAACCAGCATAAAGTAAAACATCCCATAATAATTCCAAGTGTTTTAACAGCTTTCGATTCATTTTGATTACGTGAATTACGCTTTTTCACCGGTGGCATTTTAGGACATACCAAATTTGATCCAACTAAACTTCCTGATTGATTAGCCATGACAAAATTAGAACTGAAAGACTTTTGATGTGGATTTGTGTGATTAACTTTTCCAAAATTATTCATATTATTACTATTACTATTAATATTTTTATTATTATTATTATCAGTAATATTCATTGTAGTTTCATTATCATTTGTAATTGTAGTGGTTGTTGTTGTTGTTGTTCGAGTGTTTGTTGACAGACCTAATGAATGATGTACATCTTTTCTAACATTACGATGAATAGTTTGATTCCAAGGAAAATGATGTGATGTAGACGGTGAACTACATCGTCGATCAATTGCATAATTAGGTAAATCTAATAGAAATGGTCGATTAATATGGATATATTCATTAGCTGCTGTAAATGATCTTCTTGGTGTATGAAATGGTCTTTGTCGTGGACGTGCTGGATGCATTGTAGTTAATCTAGGTTCAATTAATGGTGTGCCATATGATGGCGGATAGTAGAAATCTCTCTTTATATCACCAGGAGCTGGAGTTAATGATTTATTAGTACTACTGACCATTAATGGAGTAGTTTCTAGTGATGTTAACATTAAATTACTGCTGTATTCTTCAGCATTATTATTATTATTATTTCTCTGATTATCATTTGTAGTATATGAATTTGGCACAACTTCAGAAATTTGTGATAAACTATTCATATAATTAGATTCATCAAAATAATGTGAAACAGATAGGAGAGGTGGTGAAAATATGGAATTTCTCGATCGATTATAATCAGTCAATAATAGAGATTTATTTTTGGGTATCATTGTCACCGGTTGTGGTTGTTGTTGTACCAAACTACTATTATTGCTGATATTGTTAAAGGTATCAGTATTTAAAGTCAATAAATTTATATTTTCATTCTCTTTATTACCAATATTATTTCTTAATTGTGTTACATTTAATGTAATCGAATGACGTGTATATGGTGCGGCGAAAAATTCCGCTCTTAATTGTTTCAATTCTTTAACATGTTGTTCAAATTGTTCAATAGAAGACATGGTAGATGAACATTCAGATGTACCCCTTGGTACTTTCACATTCTTTATAATAATATCCGATGGTTTGCTAGTAAGCAGCTCATCACCATAACTAAGTCTTCTCAATGGACGTGGTTTACGTCGTCGACATAACTCTGATGGAGGTAATGGATATTTCTCTTTACTAGTGTTATTAGGTGAAGAAACTATGTTATTCTGTTCATTATTTAATGGTACTGATATATCAGATTTGTTTTCGATTGTCGCATTGGTGATGGATGTAGTTGTGTGTTTTAATTTCTCAAATTTAAATTGTTCTGTTGGTTCACTTTCCAATGAACTATGTACATTTGTTTGTGTGACAGATTCAGTAACACGATGTTGTTTAGCATCAGCCTGTGCCATATTACGTGCTAATATAAGTATACGTCCGTATAATACGATCATTACAATTAATGGAATATAAAATGCACCGCACGTCGCATAGATTTGATAAATAATATTAGAACTATATTCACATAAGCCAGTAACAAATGGTTCTTTAAATCCAAACATTGGTGGTATACTTATCAATGCTGAAAATAACCATACTAATACTATCATTAGCATCATACGCTTTGGTGTACGTTTCGCTGCATAACGTAATGGACGAGTAATTGCTAAATATCGATCAATCGATATAGCGCATAAATTTAGAATTGACGCTGTACACATAAATACATCAAATGAAATGAACATATCACACATACCTTCACCTAATGGCCAATAACCATATAATTCACGTAAAGTAGCTAATGGTTGCACTAATAAGCCGACTAGTAAATCACTTACAGCTAAACTAACAATTAAAAAATTACTTGGTGTACGTAGTTTTTTTACTAATCCAATAGCCAAGACTACTAGTAGATTACCAATGATTGTGCAAATACTGGAAATAGTTAAAAAAATGCCAATAAGAATCATTGTATTTACAAATGGTGTTGTAAATAACACTTCTTTATTTGCATTCATACTAGTAATATTATCCTTGATTGATATCATTTGCGATTGATTGATTTCGATCATTTTCAATGTGTTAGTTAGAGAATTGTTTCGTAATTTTTCAAGCTAAATTTCTCTTTTTAATCACTGATTATTTTATCTACAATATTTGATTTAAGTTTTACTTTAAAATTCATGATTACTTTCCACATTGCATGATATTTACAAGTAATATCCACATGGTCTTTTTTTCTTATGGTTGATAATAGTTGTAATTACATCCTGCATGAGTTATGTTATGTTTTTATGAATGTACTTAAACATTTTTGAAATCCCGTCTAGATATTATTGAGCATATAACGGTGACTGAATAAATTGGAAAATGAAAGTTTTGACATCATAATAATTATCATGATAGTATTTATTTGTATGGTTGAACATTTAGGAAGCATTAAGTTTTGTACAATGACAATAGTATTATTATTATTACTATTATTATTAATTAAAATAAATACATACAATTCACACTGATACACCCACATACATACATACATACACTCAATCATTATTATTCGCCTACTGAGAAAATCATCAAAAGTATTCGTGAATTTCATTGGCCAGACTAATCTACTAGATGTATATGTCTGAATTAGACACGTGAGTATACATAAATACACATCTCCTTTTTATTGTATATATATATATATATATATATATATATATATATATATATAATACTGAATATCGTCGAAACCATAAATAGTTTTGTGTATACAAGGAAATAAATAAAAATAAAATATCACACAGCTGTATGGTTACATTAGTTGTTCTCTTAAGTCTTTTCTAAAGTTCAAGTTTCCTTGAAGAAATGTACTTTTAGATATATATATAATATACATGAAGTATGTCTAGTATATACATGCACATACATGTACGTGTCAATGATTGATGATTTGTGAAAACCAAAAAGAAAAAAAAAAGCAACAAGAATACACTAACCTATTTCACTCATAGAAATTTGGAAAATCTATCAACAAATTTTATCTTTTCTTTCGGTGTTATTATTATTATTGTTGCAATTACACATGACATACAAACGTACATCTATCTACTGACCAGAAATGTCAGCTTTATGTGTATTTGTTTGTTTAAGCCGGAAAACTTTATTTGTCCGAATAAAATAAAATTATTAGGAGAAATTTTCATTTAGAAAAGTGCTCTTCATTGATTGAGAATTGTGAGGAAACACTGAAAAATCACTTACAATCACTACTTTTAAACGTCCTCAATTGAAGTGACGTTTAGAAACAGTGTCTGATTCATTTCCTTGGTACAGAAGCCACAGTAAAATATCTGTTTTAAGCATAAAAGTATATGAAACGTACTATGAAACTTAGAAGAATTTGATAAACTCACTATCTAGTGCTTATTAGAGATGAGTTATTACTACCATTATTAAGGAACGAAATGATAAGAAATTCATTTTCAAGATTGGAGAATTAAAATTTCTTTAAATCGACTGCTAGTAACTAGGTAGTCTTGAAAAGTTAACAAAAAATAGCTGTATTGGTAATAATCTGAATGCTTGATCTATCAGGTTTTAAAAGGGTCTAGTTCAACTGTTATTTAGATTTTTCAAATGAATTAACTAATTAACGATGATTGATTCACGATTTCATTGTAAAAAAAATATCTCCATAAGTTCATGATGAAAAAAATCATAAAATGTGCTCACTAGACACTAGGTTCATAAAGAGATTCTGAAAGCCCTAGAGAGAAGCTGTGACCAGTGTAGTTTAACCCTATCATGTTTAGGCTGCAACTACCGAAGACAGTGGGTGAGGATGCGCAAAATACTTAAAATTGTTAGTGTTAGACATTAACTCCTGTGGATGTGGACTCAGTGGTCCAGAGGTTAAACGTTCGCGCGTAGGACTGAAGGTCTTGGGTTCGAATCCTGTGAGTAGCATTGGATGCGCCTTACTGATTAGTCCCACATGGTGAGGAAACGGCTCTCCAGTACTTCCAAGTTTTTAATGGCGGTCTACCGTTGAGTGATTCACGATTTCAAGGTAAAAACTCACTGAAAGAACAATTAAGCTCCTTCGTAGAGTTTTCCAAAAACACTGACGAGCATCTTACAACAGAGAATATTCTAAGAATGTAATCGAATATAGAAAATGCATGCTTTCTAACTAGCTAGTGAGTGTTTAAATTTCTATAAACTAACAATTTAAAAATTTCATTATTATTAAATGCATATTTTTAAAACTACTCTTTTCACTCACTCCAAGCAGTAATTTTATGAACTGATCGGCGTCTGCAATGAAATACATCTTCAGTCACGTCACTATTCTCTAGAAGTTGCTGAATTCAACCGTGAAGAGCAATGTAATAATTACAGTATGCACTTTCACAGTTATTGTCTATGAAAACAGACTTCAATCAACTAATTTTTCTCAAAATGCAACTTGGTTATAAGTGGATTTATTTAATAAATGATGAACGTATTCATCATTAGATATTAAACTGTTTTCGTCCATCCCCTGATGTGAATCCTTTGAAGTTGTACTGCTACAAGTAGAACTACTAGTATTACCACGAACAGTGCGTTTTCTGAGTAAGCTACTTTTATCGGTTTTTAAGTAGTTGAAACAAATTGGCTTTATTTATTATTAGTTTCAGTGAAAACACAAACCGTTCCAAATTGAAGGTCGAATGCACACATGAAAGCACTAGACACTTGTTTCGTCCTAGTATGGGAATCCTCATTACTGCGTATTCTAATACTTTAAGATTTTTACTGTTGGCATAATAATGATTGGTGCATGATTCTAATCGAACTCAACAGTCACCACAACCCCATTCTGTCAGTTATCAAGGCTTTGTATAGTTTTCATCTTGTCATAAACATTCATAACGTTCACTGAATTTCGGTCACTTTCTCTTTTTGTTCAGTGGATCTGTTCTATATTTGAGTGTAATTTTCGCAGACGATTACATTTCAAGCCATAATTATAGTTAGGATTTCCGTCCAAGATGTTTGGTCAGACTACACTAGTCATTTATATAGAAGAGAAATAAAGATACATTAAACCTACTTAAATGAAAGAAAATAAATCTAATTCACTCTTATACTTTCTTTCAAAATAAATCATAGACTAGGAGATAAATTAATACAACAACGAAATATAAACAAATCATTGGTCTAATTTTGATGTATACATCAAAAAAAAATTAGACGTGACCTTTGATGAAGATTAGAGAGACAGAGGAAAATTAAGCGTAGTAATTATTTGTTTACAAGAGCGTAGGTAGATTATAAACATCTATCAAAATATATCTAATAACAGTAACAAAATAAATTAAGTAAGTCATGAACTATGCAAAGACTGTTAGTCACAGGTAACGTATTCCAAGGGTTAAATCAAATACTACCTGGATAGCTGAATTCTATAAGACGTATTTGGCTGGCTTGTAAAATTTGAATAAAAGTCATTCGTGCAAACTAGGAGAATAAGTTAGTTTCATAAGTAATCATCGATATTTAGTAATTCATAAAAACAAAATGGAAGATATTAATTTGCATAATAAATATTTACGAATAAGAAAATTAATCAATTCAGAATAAATCAATAATGTACCACCACAGTTCGCAGAAAAATTCGTTTATAAAAAAAAAGTGAACAAAGTAGATTAGTGTTAGATGTAAGCAGAGTCCTTTATCGAATGATCTCATATATTTCAATGAATAAATTTCTAATGAAATTTCTATCTTATAAAACAAAATCGATTTTACATAAGATGTATTGATTATCAGTCATTCTGAAATTTTTTAGAATATTTAAGATGTATGAAACATCAGACAAGCCGGAGTGACGGCCAAATGCACAAGTTCAAGATGAGAAATGTTGGCTGGATTAAGGTCATTAAAAAAGGAATAAATTGATTAAAGAGGATCAGATAGTAACAGTAATAATAAAAGATTGGACAAAATGAATGAGTGTTTGTGAAAAATACACGGAGGTAGGAAATTAAAGATAACGTCTAACTTTAGATTAAGAAGGTAATAATCAAGTAACAATAGTACTTGAAGAAAAATTCAAAACTGTAGAAGGAACTACATCGAGAGATCGATCTTACAAATTGTTCTTCATACACGTAAATCTGGTTCTACCGTCAATGTTTCCACAAAGAATATGTGTGCATAGTCTGATCTTCAATATTATTTTACATCTTGAATTCTACACTGTGTGGTCATGAATTTTGTTCTTGGATGAAAGGCTTATTTACCTAATTCCACAGTACTTTGTGAACAAATGAGCACTTATAAAAATGGCTTCAATGAGATAAATTGCTCTTTAAACGGGTGTACACTATTTAACGTCTACTGTGGGATATTCCCTGTGAAAATGCATAAAATTTCGGTCAAAAAATTCCTTAGGATATCTTTCAAAATAAAACTCTTATATTCCAGGTTTGTATACATATTCTTCTACAGTAAAACTATAAATTTCAAATAACTGGTGATATATTTCGCATTTATTGTATTAAGCTTTAGAGGATAACCATTGTCAACAAGATTAGATTTATTGGATAAAAGTTCCTCTTTTATATCGTTTTGTGTGAATACTTTGTGCTACACAAACTAATGAAATAAATATGTTTTTGTACATTTAGTGTTGTTATTATGATGTGGTTAGATTTTCTTGAATTCGTATCATATCTTTTGAATTCTATTTCTTCTTTCATAGTACTTTAGATGAATGAATGACAGTCACTGAAAGTCTTCAGTATACTTTCGAATTTAACACCATTACAAGGGATAAGAATGATATGAACATATCTTATATGCAACTTTAACTTTCCCGTTGTCTTCTCTAAGGTCCTGTTATGAATACTTGAACAACAAGTCCACAAATACTAAGCCTACTTACGATGCTGTTTAAACACTATCAGTCTGTTGTAGAATTCATTGTTGT